CTGCGCCATGCAGCCCCACACGCGTGCCAGCGACAAGTCCGGCTTCTTCCCGGTGAGCAGCTGGTACGGCGTCGTCCCGGGCGGCAGCGCCGACCTCTCAAGGCAGTTGTGGACCCAGACGGCCTGCCGCAGAGCAAGATGCCACCAGTGGTGCTGCACGCCCATGTGCAGCAGCATCGTCCGCACCGACTCCACCACAGTCCTCATCTCCTGCTCTGCCATGCCGTTCTGCTGCGGGGTGTAAGGGCAGGTCAGGTCGTGGACGATCCCCTTGCCGTCCACGAAGGCGGTGAACTCCTTCCCGAGGAACTCCCCTCCCCGGTCAGAGCGCAGCATCAGCACCGACTTCTTCGTCTGCCACTCAGCCACCGCCAGCCACTGCACAAACTCCTGCAACGCGTCTGACTTCTTGGAGACTGGCCTCACCCACACGTAGCGAGTCTTGCGGTCCTTCAGCAGCAAGAATTACAGGCTGCCATCCTTAGCAGCCACGCGAAACGGCCCACACAGGTCGATGTGCACGACGACCAGAACGTCATCGGCGTCCGAGCCCTTGTCGGGGAAAGTGTGCCGCGCCAGCTTCCCACCGACGCACGAGACGCACGGTGAGTCGGTGCCGGACATCGACTTGAGGTCCAGCCCAGTGGCGACCTTGTGCTTCGCCGAGCGCCGGATGGTGTCCATGCCGACGTCTAGCATGCAGCCGGTCCGGCGTCGACTTCGTCGCCGCGACAATTGCCCGCAGGGCCACCACCACCGTCGTGGGCGTTGTCGACTCCGCCGAGCAGGGACGCAGGTCGGTGCAGAGGACACGGCCGGTGTAGGACGCCCGACCGAGGACGTCCCTTGCCGCCGTGACAAGCAACATCCCGTCGCCGTCCTCCTTCAGCTTCACACCGTTCTCCTTCAGCTGGCCAGCTGACAGCAGGTTCGCGTGCACTCCCGGGACGTAGAGCACGTCGGGGATCAACACCTGCTTCCCGGCCTCCCCTTGCAAGGCGACCATGCCCCGGCCCTGGACGTCCTGCAGCGCACCGTTGAAGCCGCGCACGTGCTTGACGTAGCTGCTCGGCTGCAGGTCGACGAAGACCTCCTTTGTCCCCATCAGGTGATGCGAGCAGCCGCTGTCGAGCAGGACCACCGCCGGGTTCGCCTGCACGGCCGCCGCCATCGCCTGGAAGTCCTCGCCAGCCTCCGGCGCCAACGAGACGGTCGGCTTTACGACGCCGACCAGCGAGCACGACGCCTCATTGTCGTCTCGCCCCTTGCCGCCAGCAGAGGAGTCGGCGTCCTTCGCCGAGGTTGACTTCGTCGATTGCTTCTCCTTGCGCGGCTTACTCTCCCAGCGAGGGCGACGCCCAGCCGACCTCCCTCGGCCACCCTTGGTTTCGTCGTCGTCCGAGTCACTACGGTCGGGGCACTCCAAGGAGAGATGGTCGGGGTCGCCGCACAACCAGCACTCCCGACGTCGACTTCCTCCTCCGCTACCGCTCTCCTTAGCCGACTTCTTCTTGTCGGCGTCCTTCGCCGGCCTCCCGCCACTGCTCCCACTGCCGCTAGACTGCCCGCGCTGCCTCGGTCGGCCTCCCTGCTTCGCCGGTGCGACGTAGTTTGCCTGCGGCAGGAGCTCCAAGGACTGCTCGGCCTCCTGCATCGCCTCGTCCCGCAGGATGTACGAGGTCAGGGAGTCCTCGTTGAGCGTCGCCCGCGTGCTCGGCACCACCGACAGCCGCTTCATCAGGTTGTAGCTGCTCGGGAGCCCCTTCAGGACATGGGTGACATACGACGCCGTGGAGTACTGCACGCCGGACATCCTCATCGTGGCGAGAAGTCGCCGCGCCCGGTTGCAGTAGTCTGTCGCTGTCTCCTGGTCACCCATCCGCAGATGCGTCATCTGCTCCTCGAGTTGGCCGATGTACAGGTCGTCGGTGACCTAGTACGTCGACTCGATGAAGTGCCACGCCTGGTGGCCGGCGTCCAGGTAGTCCCTGCACGGCTTCAAGGCGATCTGCGCGCCCGGCGAGCAGCACCGCAAGATGACCGTGAAGGTCAGCAGCTGCACAACACGAAACTCCGCACGCAGGTCGGGGTAGAGCTCCGACGGTGTCGCCACGATGCCACGGGCGAAGCCTATCAGCCCGGCCATCTCCAGCTGAGGCTCAATTGCTTCCTTCCAGGTGAGAATGTCAGGTCGACCGACCAGCAGGGGGGTGACCGAGATCCTGTCCGGCGTGAATTTGAAGTAGCCGTAGCTCGGCGCTATCCCGCCTGCAGTCACGTGGGTCGCCGCATCGGCATCATTCCGCTCTGACGTCCACCGACGTCGCCCTGCGAGGTGCTTGCAGCCGCCGACGACTGCATCCCTCGTGCCTGAACGCCGCCGACTTCATCGACGTGAATCACACCTCGCTGCCTCGACGACGTGCCTCCCGCACTGCTGCCGACTTGGTCACCACCGGCGTGGACGCTCACGTCGACGCCGCCCTCGGTGTTTACCGGTCGAGGAGAAGCAGGTCGTGAAGGGTGCTCCGTCGCCCACACGGCGCGGATGCCAGCCTCGACGACCGCCCAGGGGATGTCCCCGTACTCACGCGCCTCATGGCGTCTCCTCGAATCCTAAAGCCGTGCCTCCAGGGTGTCCACCACCCCTGCGTCACCTACGGCGACTACCATGGTGACTCACGCACAGCTGCCGGCCTACGAACATAATAGGTAAGTGCAAAAGTCGGCTAGACTGAAAACTACGTCGCGGTGCCGTCCACGCTCACCGCACCATGCGGAGATAACTAATTCAACGGGAGCTAGGCTACGGGCTAGGCACGGGCAAGAGTGATCCCCGCATTCGTTCACTTAGTCGTTTGCTTGTGCTTGCACTACTTGCTGGTTCACGGGGGAATTTGGCAAGAGTTTCACTAGCAAAAGTTCACAACAATGGTTGATACAACATTGGCAACACAGACTACATCAGAGCTAGGTAGGCTGCTGGTCGACCTCCAGCGCAGCATGGTCGACCGCGATCCAGCGCAGCAAAGCTCGCACCGCTCCAGCGTTGCAGGGTAGCGGTTTGCCAACGTTGCAAGTCCACGGTGTGCCAACGCTGCAGCAAGTCGGCTGCACAGCGTTGCACCCGCAGGACAACGGTGCATCGGCTTCGCAGGTGCGTGCAACTAGTTGGTGCACCACCCCTTGTCACGTGCACAGCGCAGACGTCCAGGTCAAGTCCACGCCAGCGACTGCACCTACCAGCCACGTCGACCTCGGGATACCACTTCCGAGGTCGCCCTCGAAGCAACCACCCCGGTGACCATCGCACACGTCGCCCGGGTAACTCGGTCGACCGGGCAACCACGCCTGGTCGCCCAGCCCAGTCGGACGCCGGCTGCACCAGACCGGCGTCCCCAGAAGAGGTGTCCCAGCACCCAGATCGATGTCCGGACGCCTAGGTCGGCGTCAAGGCGCCCAGGCCGCCGTCCAGACGCCCAGGTCGGCGTCCAGCCTCCCAGGACGTCGTCCAGGCGCCCAGGTCGGCGTCCAGCCTTACAGGACGCCGTCCAGACGCCCAGGTCGGCGTCCAAGCGTCCAGGACGCCGTGCAGGCGCCCAGGTCGGCGTCCAGGCGTCCAGGACGCCGTGCAGACGCCCAGGTCGGCGTCCAGGCTCACAGGACGCCGTCCAGACGCCCAGGTCGGCGTCCAGGCGTCCAGGACGCCGTGCAGGCGCCCAGGTCGGCGTCCAGGCTCACAGGACGCCGTCCAGACGCCCAGGTCGGCGTCCAGGCGTCCAGGACGCCGTGCAGGCGCCCAGGTCGGCGTCCAGGCTCCTAGGACGCGGTCCAGACGCCCAGGACGGCGTCCTCCTGCTCGGCGCCCTCCAGCCAGGCGCCCTCCAGCTCGGCGCCTGCCACTGCAGCTGATCGGCTGCGCTCCCCGCACACCCGACAACGAAGTCGGCTCCGCCCAAGCGAGGACGGGGCCAACCACAACTCCCGTTGACATCCTCTCCCCCCTTCCTATCCCCCTTCCTCCCTCCCCCCCCTCACCTATGCCCCTGCTCCTCCCTTCTCTCTTCCCCCCTCCCATTTCCCTGCCCTTCTCTGTCCGCTTTCTATTTGTGCTACAGCTGGCCCTAGCTACAAAGTTTTTAGTCTACATGTGGGGATTCTTTGGCTACATCCCGGGAATCCGCATCCTGGCCATCATGATGCGCTAGAACCTGCAGCCCTCAGGCCTCCTCTCCGATACCTCCGCCTTCTTCTGGGCGGTTACTCACTGCATTCTTCTATCAAGCACAGGTGAGATAGGCACACATGCAGTCCCCATATCTGGTTGCTCAGCCACATTATTATAGGCGGTTGTGGCGCCCTAGTTACTCACTGCCTTCTTCTATCAAGCTCATGTGAGACTTCAATCCATAACCCCAACCCGAAACTTGCGCCTTTTTAGCGCGCTAAAACCGACAACCTCCAGTCCTCCGGCCTCTTCTCCAATACCTCCGCCTTCTTCTGGGCGGTTGTAGCGCCCTGGTTACTCACTGCATTCTTCTATCAAGCCCAGGTGAGACTCTTCTAAGGATAGGGACACCTGCAGTCCCCATCTCTGGTTACTCAGCCACATGATTATGGGCAGGTGTGGCGCCCTAGTTACTCACCGCCTTCTTCTATCAAGCTCAGGTGAGACTTCAACCCAAAATCCATAACCCCAACCCGAAACTTGCGCCTTTTTAGCGCGCTACAGCCGACAACCTGCAGTCCTCAGGCCTCTTCTCCGGTTCAGGCGCCTACTTCTGGGCGGTTGTAGTGCCCTGGTTACTCACTGCATTCTTCTATCAAGCTCAGGTGTGACACAGCAAGTCACGTGTGTGGGGTTAAACTGAGCTAAGACACGTGCAGTCCTCAGGGCTGCCTTCTTCTGGGCAGTGGGTAGCGCCCTGGTTATTCACTGCATTCTTCTATTAGGCTCTGGTGAGACTTTTCTGGGGTTAAGTACGCCTGCAGTCCCCATCATGGCCATCATGGTCCGCTACAACCTGCAGTCCTCAGGTCTCTTCTCCTGATCTGCACCAACCCTCCCTTACCCACCATCCCTCCTTGCACTCCCTCTGCATCCCTCTGCATCTCCCTATCAGGTGCTAGTGCAGTTCTGCAACCGTGTGGCCATCATTTGCCAGGGCTTCATCAACCTCCTTTAAGCGGCCACTATCCCTCCCGTACTCACCATCCCTCCCCTGTGCGCACATTTCCCTTTCCTCCTCTCCCTACCTGAAGGTGCTCGTGCAATTCTGCAACTGGGTCGCCATCATCTGCCAGAGCAAAGAACCAGCCACTAATCCATGCACATGTTCCTCGCTTCTGCACACTTTCCTTTCCTCACATTTCCCTTAAGCTGCTTGTGTAGTTCTGCAACTGGGTGGCCATCATCTGCCAGGGATTCATCAACTTCGTCGTCCCAACGCTGCTCTTCCATGCCGCTTTTGTCACCTACCCCACCCCCGAAGAGATCGAATCCCGAGGCTACCTCCTCATCTACTCCTCCCATCCCTCCTCCACTCCTCTCTCCGCCACTCCCCACACCTCCACACCCCTCCGAAGAACCTCTAGTGCTGATAGAAGCCTGGTGGGTCTGATTCATAATGTGATTGCTGCGCTTTCTCCCATGCATTCGGCTAATTCGTCTGAGGGAGGAGCAGGAGTCATGGAGATTGATATGGAAGGGGCGGGTGCTTATAAGCAGATGCCGGACAGTGTTGGTGGGGAGGTGGAGGATCAGCAGCAGGGGCAGCAGATCCGGGGGCTCAGATTGGTCCAGGCCAGAAGGTGGTCCAGATCCTTTGCAAGCAGTGCCTGCGTGTGGACCGCTTGGTATTTGCCAGCACGATGACGTAGACTACAGGGTTATTAGTGGCTGTCAGCATCGCCATCACCCTCATCTCCCTGTGACCCCTCTTCCCAGAGCGCTAGAGCTAGACTAGAGCTAGTGAAGCCACTTCCTCCCCCATCTCCTCTCTCAACCTCCCTCCCCAACAAAGCCAGACAGTCTCACACTAAGGCAGACATGCCCCAACAAAGCAGGTTGTGCCGCATCCTACTTGTGGTTTGGAAACCACACATACACTCCGCATCCAACCGGGATTGCAGGAGGCAGGCTGTCCCTGATCTTGGCCTAGAAAAAAATGGCATTATTAGATGAGTAGACCAGGGGCTGGAGGAGGCAAGTTGCGACTAGCAGGGGGGCGGTATCGGTGTAGTATGAGGACTCCCCATTGGGGAGACTGCCAAGGGGGTGATGATGGATGAGGCAGCAGCGAATCTCCCGTTGAGTAACATTGAGCGATACTGTTCATGCTCGTAGATGCGCATTTTGTGGCTGGCAGAGCTCCCCTTGGCAGCAGCTGCTCAAATACTGCTTGAATCTTGGCCCACATATTAGTTGCAACAGCAGCAGCAGCAGCCGCTGGTGCTGTGGGGGAAGCTTCCATTTTGGTTTCGCCTTGGTATTTTTTTGCGAATTGTTTGTCCGGCAAGCAGGACGTGCTCGCTCAGCAACGTCTGCTTGATAGTGATGTTAATTGTAGAGAATGTTTTACATGACAGAGTAATTGATACATTACAAGAATACGGTAGCAAATTATACACAATATCAAGAACGCAATTGCTGTCGTTGAAGCAAATTGCCAAAGCAGAAATACAAAAGTTGCATTGAAATTTCTTTTTTCTTACTGATTTTATACTACAGCAAGTAACGTATTTATATGGGTAATTAACCCAGGGGGTCTAATCCCATCCCATATAAAAACAGAGGGTGGGTCTATTAACTGGGTGTAAATGCAATAAACCCGACCAGGGCTCAAATTTTTATTTTGGTCACCCTGGGAAATCAGGGTGCCAGCCAGGCATACCCTGATTGGTAGGGTAAAAAAAAATTAGCCTTACAAAATCAGGGTAAATTTTCACTTGGTCTTATGGTGGCAGGGAAAATTTCCAGGTATACTGCTAGGGATTGAAGAACAAATATATAAAATTCGAAGTAATCATGAAGCATGTCGAAGTGGCTAAGTCAGTCATGTCGGTCTAGGGCGTCGAATCCCACTGTCTGAGAATGTTAATCGACAGAAGTACGCCCTTGTAACGATTCAGTATCACCGTAACTCTCTTGACACCCTTTCAGTACAGGGTGAACCCTGATTTAGACAGGGTTAAAAAAGGTTTACACTTTTGAAGAAAGGGGAGTACAAGAGCACACTTACAAAATCAGGGTATTATCTTAAAAGCGGCTCATAGCAAGGGCAATCATGGTATTTTACCCCTTCATTTTTTAGCCCTGAACCCGAGGTTTTATCTTATATGCTGTTTTTATTTTCAAGAAGTGTCGAATCCTGTGTTTCAACACCATTCCAATGTTTACCACGCACTGGTGCGAGATTAGCTCATGTCATATCAAATCGTGCGCTGGTCAAATTTGTGTCCCGCTATACTTTCGCCCAAAACTACAACATCTACAGGCTAGGGGGTCTAATACGATATGCATATAAAAAAGGGGGACTATTACGAAAGTGCATATAGCATTAGGCCCCCCCTTATTCAACGACCAAGGACATGAATATGGGGACGCATGAACTCTAAAACATTGTCACATGGCGTTTAGGGTTGATGCTGTTGGAATAACCAAGGGTTATTATAACATTCCCCAAGGTTCTCCCCTAGCGCACCGCTTCATAACGAAGCAGCGCACTTGTACCGTATTATTTCGGCTATAGGGCCCGCCAGTAAAAAAGGGTCCCCTGGGACTCTCTATGGGGTACTGGGACTCTTATTTTGGTACTAAAATGTGAGGACCCCCCATTTGCCCCTAAACATTATAAGACCCCCCTTTTTATATACAGTAGTAGTAAATGCAATTGCGCGTCAGCTTTTATAGGCAAAAAAATCGAATTCTGACACGTTGTATGTGTCAGATTCGGATTCTGACACATTTTTGTGTGTCAGACGTGAATTCTGACACAGATTGTCAAAATTATATTGCATGTGTTAGTTTAGCCTGTAGTGAGTGATGCCTTAGGGGTACAACATTTTCTCTCGACACTTGTCTTGTACCCCTGCCTTGACCTAACCTACTCATTCCAGTCACTTACCTTTCAACATGGTTTCAGAGTAGGTCGATCCTTAGGACCGATTAATTTTTTCAAGGGCCCACCGTTCGTTCTGCCCGTTTATTTCTGCCCTGCCCTAGCGATCGCGACTCGGCTGCCCGCTAGAACTGCCCTGCCCGATCGCCCTGCCCGTGCGCCCTGCCTGAGCGCCGCCCTGCCCGCGCGCGCTCTACCTGCAGCTGCGCCGCTCTGCCTGCCCGCGCGCTCTGCACGCACACCCTGCTGCCCGCACGCGCGCTGCCCGCACGCACTTTGCCGGCCCCGCCAGTGCGCTCTGCCCCGCAAACGCGCTGCCCGCCAGCAGCCTGCGCCCGGCCTGCGCCCTGCCCGCGCGCACCCCACGTGCACCCTGCCTGCTCCCTGCCCGTCCGCGCTGCTGCGCGCTGCTGCTGCTGTCACTTCTGCAGCTGCTACTGCTGCATGCACTGCTGCTGCTACTAAGCGCTGCTGCTGCTGCTGCTGCTGCTAAGCGTGCTGCTGCCACTGCTGCATGCCCTGCTGCTGCTGCTAAGCGCTGCTGCTGCTGCTAAGCGCATTGCTGCCACTGCTGCATGCAATGGTGCTGCTGCTCAGAGCTGCTGCTGCTGCTAAGCGCTGCTGCTGCTGCTAAGCGCGCTGCTGCCACTACTGCTACTGCACGCGCTGTTGCACTGTGCCCTGCCCGAGCCGCGCCGCCCTGCCGAGCCGCGCCGCCCTGCCCGAGCCGCGCTGCCCTGACTGAGCCGCGCTGCCCTGCCCTTACTTAGAAGCACTGCCCTACTGCTGCTGCTAAGCGCTGCTGCTGTTGCTAAGCGCTGCTGCTGCTGCCACTGCCGCTACTGCTGCTATGGCTACTCCTACTTTGCTCATTTTTTATGCCGAGGGGCACCCGATCGATTTTGAGAACTGGCTCGAGGACTTAGAGTGGTTCCTTAAGAGCGTCACTAGGAAGGATATCTCACTGTTTGAGCATACCTCCGGGTCCATAGCTACCCCTACTGAGTCCACAGACCCGAAAACTCGTTCTCGGTGGACCACTCGTGACGCCTTTGCAGCCCTTGCTGTTCGTAACCACATTCCGCACGACCAGCGCACTCATTTCCGCCAGCTTAAGATGGCCAAAGCGCTCTACGACGCTGTAGTCAAACGCTGTTCCTCCCCGTCTTCTGCCACGATAGGCCGCCTTGTGCTGCAGTTCCTCTTTCCTGAGCTCGCCGACTTCACCACCGTAGCCGATCTCATCACGCACCTGCGCTCTCTTGACACCCGTTACCGTGCTGCTCTATATGCCGACTTTCTGGCTGAGAACAAGCCCCCCATGTATCTCACCCTCTACTTTCTCACGACTCGCCTCCCTGACACGCTTCGTGCTGTTTGTGATCACTTCCTCTCTCTCGACCCCACCAAAGTCACCATAGACTCGTTTGAGAAACACCTCTTAGAGGCTGAATCTGCTGCTGTAGCTGCCTCCCGTGGCACTCCCCTCCCCTCCATCTTCGAGGGGTGCTCCCCCTCCCTGCTCGTGTCCTCTGTTGCTTCTGCTGCTGCTGTCGACTTCCTTAGTGCTGAGGAGGTTGGTGCTGCGTCTGCTCCTGCTGGGAGGCGCAAGGGCGGCAAGGGCAAGGGGGGCAAGGGTGGGGGTGGTGGGGGAGGTGGGGGTGGCGGCGGTAGTGGCGGGGGCGGTCGTGGTGGAGGTGGTAGAGGAGGAGGAGGCGGTGGCGGCAGTGGAGGTGGAGGGGGTGGTGGGAGCAGTGGGGGTGGTGGAGGGGGTGGGGGTGGCACTCCGGGTGGAACTGGAGGGGGTGGAGCGGAAGGCTCGACTACGCGCACTGCTACGTCTGGTGGTGCAGCCGGTGATGGAGGCGGCTCTGGGGGTGGACAGCTGCAGCTCTCGCCGCAGCAGCTTCGTGACTGGGCAGTCAGGCGTGGCAGCTCGGGTGGCCCAGCTCGCTGTGGGTACATCCGTCGCACAGGTCAGCCTGGTGCGGCTTGCACACGCACTGATCACACGGAGTCTCGCTGCTTCTTTCGCCTCGACGACCTGTATCGTGCTGAGCATGGTGAGCAGATGAAGACTCCAGACTGGTTAGCTTTGCTGAAGAAGGACATCGATGTCTTTGCTTGTGATTGGGACGTGATCCACGCTGGCATGTATGCGATGTATGCTGCTTCTGCTAGTGTTGAGGGGGACTGTTACTCGTGTGTGCCGAGAGTTGCTAAGGTAGAGGCTGCTAGTCTTGGTGCTTTTGACTCAGCTAGCACAGGTGCAGAGCCTAAGGAGGCCTTCCACACTTTTACTCTCGACTGAGGCGCGTCTCGTTGCTTCTTTCGCGACAGCACCACATTCACACCGCTCACAGCCCCTGTCCATGTCACACTGGCCGACCCCTCCGGGGGCCAGGTAGTCGCACGTGGCGCCACTGTTCTCCCTTGTCCGGCGGCCCCTTCCTGCCTCCTTACAGGTCTCCACCTCCCCTCGTTCGCTAAGAACTTGGTGGCTACCTCTGTCCTCCAGGACCAGTGGGTCACTGTCACCCAGCCTGGAGGCGAGCTAGTGGCGATCTGTACGGACTCGCGCACTGGTGAGCACCTCGCCACGTTCACTCGGAGGCCTCGGTCTGGCCTTTACACACTGACCACTGAGTCTGCACTGGTAGCTGAGTCAGGTCAGGTCGCTGCGTCGGTTGAGGTCGCTGCGTCGGTTGAGGTCGCTGCGTCTTGCTCGTGTCGTCTCCTCACGCACCAGACTCTCCTCTGGCACCACCGTCTTGGTGTGAGAGTATGACGGCTTATGCTGGCTTTACTAGCTTGCCTGGACATTATTATGCTATTACTAGCTTAGGTTTTATTTTATCATGCATAGATATGCTTGATTTCCTAGGTTAGGTGCATTCCTATATGTTATTATAGTTATAGCAC